TATAGACCCAAAGTTCGACTCACAGGCTGGTAGGGTCCATCTGAGGAGTGTGAAAATGTGCAAACTCGGTTGTGGAGTGCAGTATGGGGAGCCAGTAACCTTAGGGGGATAATGCACCCAATTGCCCAATTTTTGTTCCACTTCATAGTGTATTCCATCATGGAGTGTTCCCTTAAGAAATCACAAGATGCAGACTTTGAGTTGGTGCCTGGTGCCAACCTAGCTGGTCTTGATTATGCGGACGATGTCGTCTTGTTTTATAACGGTGTTGGGGCGGCCCAGTCAAACCTGAACAGCCTCTAGAGTGGTCCCATTACTTGGTGTGCTCTTCGCACCTTCAAAGTGCGAGGTATTGATGCAGGACCACCAGCCACTTGACGACCCCTTGACCCTTGATATAGAGGAACTCAAGGTAGTTAATCAATTCGCTTACCTTGACAGTTGCACTAGCAACAATAGGCGCAGAACAACTGAAGTCATTTCAAGTATTGTAAAAGCCAGATCTGCCTTCTTGAATCTGTGGCGTCAGAAAGTGGTTTTCCTCGGTCTGAACGAGCGAGTTTACAAGGCTGCAGTAAGGGTCGCCCCACGTTATGGGATTGAGACTTAGTCACTTCGATATGAGGATCTGCGGCGAATTCGTCTTTGAGCATCGGTGTCTGCGAAGCATTTCTGGTGTCGAATGGCACCAGCGTGTTCGCAACGATGATGTGCGGAGACGAGTACTAGACAGTGATAGTCAGGCTAGTTCTTTAGTACAACAGTTAGTAATGAATAAGTTGCGTTGGCCTGGGCACGTACTACGTATACCCGGACATCACTCACCGAAGAGGGCTATATTTTATCTGACAGATGTACGGTAGCGCAAGACTCAAGGTGGACAAAAGTTGACTTGGCAACGGGAAATGAAGCCACTGACTACAAAACTTGGTGCTGTTGTTCGTCTCGTCCTCCAAAACTGGAATCCACGTGATCCGACGTGTGCTTAGCTCGAGACGTTACAGGGCATGGCTTGCAATCGGCTTTAGTGACGTATCTGTTGCCGACTCCAAGGCGAACTACCCGTTTGAAGCGTGTTCGGTACTGAGTAATCTGCGGGGTAATGGCTGATTATGACGCGGGACAATGAAAGCCGCAAGGAAGCCTTCTCGCTGATGCCGCCTTATCATTACAGGATGGTCGGCTGTCTTTGACAAGTTGTAGGTGCCTTGACCCTGAATGTTTGCTTTAGGCACTAGGATTTTATGCCAGATCCTCTTTTCTGACTATTATTCTTCCACGTTCCTTAGGTCACTGTGGTTGTACGGCAGTGAAGACTGTCTAAAAGGTTGATGTAACGCTGCCAATGATGATGAGGGAGAGTAGTTTAGGCATGTTTAAATAAACGACTATAACTTTCGACTTTCCTTTAACCGTGTTCATTCACTGACAATTGTTATAACGTACCATTTCATTAGCTGCATTGGCTAGTTACGGTCGTTGTTTTGGGTGCGGATCAGAGTTGCAACACGAAGCTAACCCTTGTATTTTCTGTGTGCATCTGATTGGTTCCTTTTATGTTCATTCCTTATTGGATCTGCCTGTTGGCACGGTTCCAGTAATATGATTCACTTTTACATTTACGCATCATCGTACAGAACAGTAGCGTCTTCTTACGAAAAGAACACTGAAAGTTGCTCCTGCTTCTTCGCGTTCTCACCAACGTTAGTGGGTGGATGCAGTCGTGGGTCTGACGTAACAGGCAACTTCTAACATCTATCGGGTTCGCTCCTTGTCTACAGAGAATCCCACTATCATCATCATCAAACAGTGAGGGTAGGAGAAAAACCAGACCAACAGCATGGAGGCAGTTGATAGATGCAACAAAATTTCGAACCTCAAATCCACTCGGAGCTCAAAGTTGACTGGCCATGGTTCACTCCGTGCCATCCAAACACGAAGCAACACGGAGGCAGAGCACCGAGTGGACTGCTCTTGAAAAAACCCCACTCAACCAGCTAACTGGGGTGCCGGCTTTGACACTGATTAATTCACCAAGTCATGAGTTCCTGGGATTGTTGATGCTGATTACCTGGAGAAAAGACTACGAAAGTTATCTCCCGTTCCTATTGCTTTCATGCACTGGACCGATTGAGGCCATCAGCCCCAACCGTCAGTTAGAAGGCTTCTTCCCAGTCCGCACCTGATAACTCACCTAGTTGCACTGTGTTCGGCAAGAGCATGGATTATGCTTCTATATTATGGCAGTTTAATCGGCCTTTCGGAAATTCAGTTCTGCTCTAGGACGACTAGGAGCGCTGCAAGCAGAAGCCCACACACTGTAAATGAAAGCAACAATTCTGTTCACCTGAAACCCGAAGTCAACAGAGTAATTCAGTGAAAGGATAGAATGGAGGGCATCCCAGAAACTTAACGAAAACTTGGGCTAACACAGTTCCTAGAACTCAATCACTGTGCATCGCCGTAAATGCGAAGAAAAAACAGTGGGCTAGAGTATGTCAATGAAAAGCCCCGGACCTTATCGAGCACTAACATCCACTGCAAATTTTATATATATATATATATATATATATATATATATATATATATATATATATATATATGCATCAGTCCACGAACAGACGAAGAGCCATCAAAACCATGCAAATCAAAGGAAGGCACAGCTGTCATATAAAGAAAACGGAACACAACACAGAGAAACTCATCAGAAGGCGAGAGACTACCAGGTTGCCGAAACCGAAGTAGGGTGTTGACTTAGGGGACACTACACCCAGCCTTTGGCTAAACAGCCTGCCCGCAAGGCAGCGGGGCGAATTTAGGGACTCGCGCCCATTGGGAGCCGGTGGCTGATTGCTCAGCTCATACGTCTTTCGTTTGGTCTGTTGACAAACAGGGACCAAATCTCGTCAAGAATTTGAGCTTCGCGTTGCTAGATACAATGTTCCACCGGAGTGAAGCAAGGAGCAGTGACTTTATTTATTGGAAGTCACATTCGCCACCTCGCAGTGTTGTTAAAAGGACATATCCGGTTTTATGTAGGGGAAACTATACATTAGCTAGTAGCAATGTGAGATTGTATGTTAGGCTAACTGGGAGAAGGGGTGATCGGTAGTACCGGACGTGTAGTTGAATGGACCACAGGGAACCTAGTACGCATTGTTAGCCGTAGCTGATGTTGTCAAACAGGTTGCACGAACGGCGTTGTTGATGGGATTCCAATCAGCTAGCGACGATTCAATCGTGGGGCTGAGAACGATGTCCAATCCAAGTTGGTCGGGGGTTGATGCATCAATGTCACCGATCGCGTACAGCTTAGAGTAAGGGGACAAGCTAAACTCGGTTTGTTTAACAACCACGTCGGTGCCATAGATCCTAATTTCGGGTAGGCAATCAGCGCTAAAACTCAGGCTCTGCAGTGTTTGGGTATGCAAATGCAACCTGTCCACCGGTTAGTCGTAAGGTACGATGCCTGTATACTCGACCAGATATGGGAAGTTATTGGTAGCAAACAATTAGTGAACATGGTGGTGACACGAGTGTGGATGGAAAAAGTTCGGTCGAACTGCAGGTGTTGCAAATGAGCATAGCGGTGCAAAAGAAAGAAGGGTGAAATCGACAGTGGCATAATTTCCCTTAGTTGCCCTGAGACATGCAACAGATGGGTGATGCTTATGGAAACTGAGCCGGTGTATGATGTAGAGTGAGGCCAGTGAATGTTCAAAGGTCGTGGTGGTAAGTGGACTGGGATGCATCCAGGGTACCTAAACCTAAGCAGGAGAACAATTAGGATCCTCATCCAAAGTCTTTGGTTCGGGAGACCAAACGTAAAGTGTCGGGAATTCAGTTCCGTTCCACGAGAAGAGCCGAGGGTAGGTGCAACTTCAATGCAACCTCCAAATCGGAAAAGCACGAATTATATCGTATGTCAGAAAGTCGGAAAATAGGCGACTAAAAGAATTAATCGTGCAACAGTCGGTGAAGGCTTATCAAAATCCCCCCCCCAATGCATCCGATTAGAAATTTCAACCGGTCGATACTGAACAGAATACAAAGGAAGGCAAGGGATAAACACAGTGTTGTAAGTGAGTTTGACCAAACGGATGCTCTGTTGGTTACTGAATTCCATGTGGTCAAAGAAAACACACTTAGGATGCAGTGATACTGAAAATTGCTTTAATACAGTTTATTTACAGCGAGAACTGAGCAAACGTTTGTGAATTTTAACCACAATAAGTTGGCTAGTGCAGGACTGGATTTAGCGTCACAGTGGAAGTCGAAAGAATTAACCAAAAGGACAGTATAACTATGTTAACGCATTGCAGGTGAGATTTGGTGTAGGTTGGAGTCTAGATGAGAGGCCAATCAGTAGCGGGAAGTAAAATGCCGGCAAGAAGTTAGCCGTAAGGTCACAGTTATGAGGAGTGCTGCCAGCAGCTTAAGCTCGAGCCCCATTGGTTGCGACGACTGAAACATAACCTGATGCTGATACACAATCTCATAAACCAAAAGACACTCTAATCTGTGCACACTAAAATTGTAACATAACTTCCCTCGGAATCTACGCAACAAGACCCGTAAAGTAACTGTGCCAAGAATCAGGAAGTGATCCAATCCAACTTCTTCCTCGTCAAGTACGTTGACGTGTGGAATAGCCTACCAGGCACATCCAGCTCTTGCACAAGTGCAAGAACATTCCGCATTCCGCTTAGAAATTGCCCTGACCAGAACTCGATAATGACAGTGTTTCCATCAGGTATATCACTACACGAGTTCTTCCATGGTGGATCAAAAAATAGATAACCAATAAGATGATACACAAAACCCAGCGAGGAAAAGCTATATGATTCCAAAATAGTTTGATGTCACACACACACACACACACACCTCAGAAGACATTTCTCACTCATGCATGAGCATGATCACTATTGTAGTCAGAATCTGACCCCAATCCAGGCACAGATTCTCGCACAATCGACAAATATACGTATTATGCAATACACTGAGAAAAGCTCTGCGGTCCTGTGAAAGCAACAGTAGAATTCGGGGAAACTTGCCTCAGATCCTTTTCCTTCCAGTGTAAGAAACAGCAGTGGTTGAATAAGGTCACATATTCGATCTGGCCAACGTTCATCCCACTCAAGCGGTTCCGGACGCAACAAATATAACAAACGGGAGGTGGCCATATCAAGCAAAGAGGTGCTTAGATCTTTTTCAACGGATTGCAATTTCTGCACAAGATACGAATCAAGATGGGCGATCGCTGGCACAGAAACAGTGGTTCTCAAGTATCGTGTGTGTAGCAGCAAGGTGGCCAAATAATGCCAAGGCTCCTGAAGCTCCTCTTTCAACACAGGTCTCATCTGAGCGGAGCGAAGAACGAAGGGATTAAGAGAAGATTAATAGGATGGTTATAGCGGCATCAGGCATGTATATACAAGCAATTAACTAGGAGCACGCATCAGTATCAAGCAATTGTTCAATTGCGTGCAGTGTGGTTCAAGTAAACAGACACTAGAAGATACGAAGGGGAAGTTTGGAAATCCTGCAAATCAGGTAGTTAAGACGTGATCCAAACACCAAAGTGAGTGCGTCTGTAGTGAGAGTAGTGAAAATAGTGAAATCTTGGAGTGTTTGTAGCTTGAGTGCAGAAGTCAGAATTGGTTATCAAAATCCGAAACGAACTACCCACTTTCCGTTTACGGAATCGGTAATTTGCTTCCACTACGTCTATGTGATTAGCGCTAATTCATATGGTGTGGGAGCTTGTGTGTCGGTGCGTGTGACCGCCATGTGAATCTAAGGAACGGAGCATGCAGCTTCGTGATGCGAACTATAGAAACCACCGAGGCAGGTAAACTAGAGCACTCGGATGCCCATCAGCAAAGTCGTTCACGTAAGAGTCGCCAATAAACGAGCAGCGCTGCAGTACCGAACAGCTTTAAAACGAATAAAAATGGAGTTGATCCATACCACCAATGGAGATCGATCTACCAATGGGAAATACAGAAAGCACATTAGGCCTTAAATATCTAACCGATTTTTGTATCGCTCCAATCAGTGGTCACATTGTAATTTCTGCTACCATCGACATGTTTCGCATTGATGGTGAGGAAAGTTGGGCTGAGTGTATCCAGTTCGTAAGAATTCGCCATGTAGGATGAATTGAATAGAGTAAGGAGACTGGAAATTACGGCACTGGGAAAGAACTGTGAACTATATGGGTCGAACTCGGTGAAGACCTTATTAGGAGAAGGGGCAAATATGGGTCAGAGAAGGAAATGTGGTGCTGACCACATTTGCCCAACGCCATTGCAAATGTAAGGGGACGGCAGGCATTCATCGTGCGAATGTATTGGGCTAGAAGATGCTGTCATCCACCAATTTCCCTTTTGGTGCCTAGATAATCCAGTTTGTTAACAAAACTGTAAGTGTCTATAACATTACGGAGTAGATTTTCGGGTTTCTGAGCACGCGCGGTGTGCTTTGGATCGCGACACACATTCTCAATAGTGAATTCGGTTGAGTTTGTAGTGAGCCTGCACCATTCCCATCAGTGGGACCGTAACCGAGGTGGAGGGTTTCGGTGTTGCGCTCTGAATCTTCGGATACGGACCCAATGATCGGAATGGCGCAGACTGACTTCAAAGTCAACCAAATCCATCATTGAGATTGCGTGTCGCAATCCAAAATCAAACAATCAACTTCTAACCGCTGCTCGCGGAGCTCAATGGCCTAGTGATCATGACGACAGCCGGTAATCACTATGTGCCGAGTTCCATACGCACCTCAGGCTAGCTCTACCAGATGAGTCCAAAGAAGGACGAAACGCATCGTGGAGTGCAAGAATAGGAGAGAGTAACACCGAAATTCTCCGACGTTACTGGGTACTTGCTGAGTACTGCTCACATCTAGTGGGAACACTGAGTGAGCAGTGCTGTGGTCCGTCAGTTGGTTTATGGTAAGATCTCTGGTTCCTCACTAAAGTGTCTGTTAATCATGGATCGCTTACGTTGACTAGGTCATGTCTCCCGAATGCCCGTTGACCGACTTCTTCGGCGTGCATTGTACGTCGTCGCTGCACCGAGGTGTCCAGTCAGTGAGGTGGCGAAAAGTCCTGAGGAAGTTGACCGAAAGGGGTGATCAGGCTGGTGGATGGGGGTCCCGGGATGGTCCGCAGCAATGGTTGAAGACCCTAGCAGACCTGGTACAGGCGAACAGTGAACAATGTCCCTGCATTCGGTTACTTGCACCTAGCCGTGAATAGTACATCCCGATTAATTTTACACAATGATCAAATTTTTCGCATTCTTTTCGCACTCGGTCTCATTTGCACACTATTGTCGTTTAGCATGATTCAGACGAAGTGAGTCGCGGTAACCAGATCCATCGCAATTCGCTGTCCGGATGATAGTGATCCAAATGAAGTGAACTGGACAGTAAACGTTAAGGAGACACAGGCTATCGGCATTCCTAATCATTCGCCGATCATTTGACCGTTAAAAAGGCGAACAATAAGATCACTGGTTTAATACGGTTGGTAGTCAACGGTGAATTTGAACCCGCTTCCTACTTAGTGTCAATTGATGAGCTAAAACTACGGTAAATACAAGGTAACTAAAACATATGAAACATGCGATGAACATCCAAAACCGAGATAGAAAGAAATTGTCCGAGCGGAACAAAGAGAAGCAGTAATTGTTCGAGTCTGATTATCTACTGAGAAAGTATGACAATGTTTCAAATACCGTCTTAAGAGACGTAGAGCAGCCCGTCTTCTAGAACTGGGTTGCGATGTTATCGGAACGCTGCTCCATTTGTTGTGAACTATGTAGAAACCAAGGTTAACATCGGAGAGCGTATTTACAACACAGCGTCGTGAGACAGACAAAATAAGTGGAGGCATTCCCACATATTTTGGCTCATCCAGGACCATCAACCGTTAGGACTGAGGTACTTGTAACAGTGCGCAATGCATCTGGTCAGCGGAGCGCAAACACCTGAGCAGTACACAAACGAGTGCTAGGCAGCTAGAGTTAGTGCCGCGCCAGAAGCTCGTGATTCCGTAAACACGGACCTGATGGGGTGAAATCTGAATAGCACCATCAGCATTGTCGATAGTAGTACTACGGAAATAAACACCCAGGCGTCACACCCACGAAAGCACCCGCGATCACAAGCGGGATGGGATACTGTGGGATAACCTACACCTACACAGGCTCGAACCGTTGACCCATGGATTACAAGACAACCGCATGGACTATTTTGTCACTGGTGATCAGTTGCAATTACATTGAAACGGAAACATAGAGTGGGTGGACATTTTAGGGCAGTGAGACCCCTGCTCAAATCGCATCATCGACAGCAAAAGGTTCGAGAGTACAATACCTCGACAAAGTGATTGAGAACCTTACGCAATACGTAGTAGCATTTTCAGTCAATGGAATAGATTCAGTTGCACAAACAAAGGTCAACAAAGTGTGGCGGTTCAAGAAGGCATTTGCTGTCAAAGAAAGTAGGTGAAGATGAAGACGCGCACGTGACATGAAGCTTAAACGAAGAGACGAGGGATGTCTCATTAGCATGCGACCACAAAAGCCTTAAGCAGAAATAGACTCCCGTCGATTTGGTCGAAACGATTCCGATGAATAGTAATTAGAAATGATTGATGAGAAACTGTAGCCACGCGAAAACCAACAGAAAGTTAATACTTGGAGGTAACAGCAAGTCCAACGAAGTAGCACGTCTAGTAGACGTTTCCACAGGCGGATATTCAACTCCGGGTTCTGATCGAAGGATTCCACCGAAACTAGAGACGTCAGAAGACAAGCGATTTGCCTGGTAGGGGAGTGAAAAAGTACCAAAGAAAAATGTCAACATTCTACTGATTTGCTGGAGGTGAGAAAAACCCCAGCTATCAAGCCGCAAAAAAGTTAATTAGATGGCAGCAAAAGGAATAAATAGTTTTAGAAATATGTGCAAAACAAAAACAATAGTATGCGTCGTTTCATATTAGACACCGACGATGAAATCCCGAATGGAGAGGGAGGCTAAGCGGGATGGTTAGGGATAAACTCACAACACAAACATTATGTTCGACTCTTCAACATGTCAACAACTGTCCCTGACCATATGCGTTCGTTGTCTTTCGCGCTCGAACCCAGGAGGCTCCAACTGAGTACAAGTTCGAAGTAAGGGCCTTCATTTCCCTTATCGGATGGCTTCTTTTCGCTCTCGCCGGAATCGGTATGCTGGCAGGCATAAAAACCGGCCCGTAGCCTAAAGGTAGACAGCTTTTCTTGCAATCTGGCGACGCGAGTTCGAGCCTGGGAGGGGCACAGGGACCCTCGTGGTATCCCTAGCCCACGTGTGACCGGTGGTGGTTGCGCAGCAGCGAAACGTCGGTACTGTGTGCCGACGTAATGCTGACGCCTATTTTCTTTCTGCATGCATAATATATCTACCAATAATCGGGGGGCTTTATGCGTGAAAAAAGGGTACTGAACGGTCCACTCGCTCTTGCTGCGCCATAAACAAGTCGCTAAACACGCTAATTGATAATGCGATGTTCCCATCAGATATCAGGACAACTTCGAAGTTACCGGTGCTCAAACGTGACTAGCATCTTTACGTCTGTCGATCTGAGAGGCGAGTTTTCATAACCGCATAGTAAATTTGAAGAAGGGCTGCAGTATAAACCCTACCGTTTAGAGCGAGCATAAGGTCGCCCTGGCACCGAGAAATCAGCCTACGGGTAGTTGAAGTTCTCGTCGAGTTCCAACCGACCCCTATGAAGGGTCAATGCAGGGAGCGATCCGTGCCAATGCTGAAGAAAGGGCTGCCGTTAGATGGTGCAAAACACCGACTGCAACCGTTGGTAACCAGTGCTAATGTGTTCAGTGCTGCTTGGCGCAACTGCGAGCCCTCACATAGTAGGACAATATCGTATGCGTACTTCTAGTCAAGAAATCGATCACCTGGAAGCTGAGGATATTAAAGAATGGCGACAGTTTATCACAAGCGCTGACTATGCCCGAACTACGATTGTATAGCGCTCCAATTAACGCACCCTCATTAGTCAAATAGTTTTAAAGGGCAAATCGATCTGCCGCATCGTAGGCACCTCTGATGCCGAGGAACACGATTAAAATCGGTCACCAATATAGTTGGAGGTGCTTCAATATCTGGCGCAAGGTAAATGCAGTCTGGATGTAGATGAAAAGCGGCTCTATTCACGAATTTGGATTTCACAGGCACCAGCAGGTCCCTTTAAAAAACAGACATTTGAGAGCAGACTGTAAACTTTATGATAACCGCATTCCGAAAATGAACCTCCGTCAGAAATCTGGGCCATAGCTGAACAGCTCCAGTTGATTGGGAAAGTTTCTTGCTCCAACAGTTTCTTTACTATGTCGTGTGCATCATCCATAGGTGCAGCAGCTCTTCCGATATTGAAGAGGGTTAGAACAAATCTACCCAGTCCTGCGGCCTAATACAATTTCAACAGTCTGGCCTAATATGTGACTTCGCGCGAGAGGGTGGATTTAAAAGGATGTTACGGGGAACAGCGCGATCAATGGAAGACAAGGGAACTGACCGATTAAATTGCATTACGAAGTTCATGCCCCATTGCTCAAAACGTCTGGAGAAGTCGTAAATAGCCTGTTCATTTCTGTTGCATATAGTTTTGTTAATCACTGGCCACTTGCTGTCTCTTATCCGCATCAGACGGAATAATTTCCAAAAACCGCGGTGGTTTCGTTTTTAAATGCACGATGAAACCACTAAGTTTCACGGTCTTATTCCAAGCTAGGATGTAAATATACCCTCATATCTGCGAGTACCACCATGTTCCCTCTCAGCCGGAATGTCAGCAAGCATGTAGAAGCTCCAGAGACTGCGTAGAGACCCACTACCCATACTGGCAATTAGATTTGCCCCACAAAGACGCGCTTGCTTCTGATAACGTCTGGTGAAAATGTGATCAGTGATCTGTAACTGTGTTCATTGAGCGCCTACTTAGCTCGGGTACCAGCGCAGTTTGATATGTATTAATAACATCTGATATGGCAAGGTTTATGCACTCAAGTCGTTGCGCACGTCCGCCTAAAAGAAACCCTCAGGTCCGCACACACAAGTGCATGGTCGAAGCTCATGCTTGTGTTCCAAATCGAGGGACAGTTTCGGACGCAATCTCTACAACTTCGAGTGATTGCGAGGTGATCGATTTGCGTGTATAACTGGTCCCGTGCCAGTGGGTACTGTATCACCCCTGGTGGATACTATGCGGGATGTTAGTGCTCGCGAGAAACAGAAAAGAATACTCACACAGTTGTAGCCGTCGCTCGCTGTTATCATTACGGGAGCCTAAGTCGTGCAGAAGTGTTCACATCTGTCATCAGTACGCCCACATTTACAAGGTTGGGGGCACGATCTGCGGACTATCTCTCAGGAAGGTGATTTCAGTGGGTTCGTACAACACGACCCTGGTTGTTCTAGACAATCTAAGTCAGCTTCGAAAAGAGGTTACCAGCATGTTGGTCTCTTGAGGAGGGCACTCGGGAGTCTGGATTCATTCATCTCATTGATGCCCCGCGTAGGTGCAGGCGACCTCGCGCCACTGATGGTGATCGGGTGGCAGTGAAACGTTGTTATAGTGTACCGGTATACTGTTGTTGTCTTCTCACTGACGTCCGATGCCTATGTGTGCCCCCAAGTCGAATACGCTATCCAAGCTTGACAACCTTGTTTAAAGAGCGACTTTGTAGTGCTCGAGACCTCAGGATGTCGAGCAATAAAAAATATCAAACTTTTGCGCCACATTCCGTAGCAGAAACGGCTGAAGATATTCGGAGTGTTCAGCAGATGCCACCAGTGGCTACGTAGAGACATGATATTGGTAAACTAAACACTTAGAAATCCGAGCCACGGATATCGCCTCCTTATGAAGTTCAGCCAGAATACCAACCTGAGATAATAGATAAAAAGTAAGTCAACAATGTAGTCGTACAATGTAGTAACGAGCTTGCATCATCCTCCGAGTCCATCACCCCTTTAACGCCCTTCCGAACTCAGTTATCCGTGTCTGCATCTTAACCATGTTCAAAACAGACTTGGATATGGCGCTTATCTCCCTGCATTTTGTTATATGAACGGACGCTCTGGGATTATAATCCACACAGAAGCACATTGCAGGCGAATGAGCAATCCGATTATTCTTTACCAATATAGTGTCTTAATGTCATGTTTTGCATGGCGCTATCTTATTCCAAAAATTCTACTTCTAATATACTGTCGCCCTGTTGCTTCACTGAACCACGTTTCAAATTGTTCACTTGTATAATATACACATTTAAAGTTCCTGTTTGCCGCCCAACGGGACACGTTAAGCACATGCTGCATTGTCGTATCTGTCGCCTAGATGCAGCTCATAAGTGGACATTCACGCAGTATGAGTATAGCAATCACCACGCAGAACTGCAGTGTTCGTACTTCTGCTGAGCAGTTTGTTTAAGTTACAAAAGAAGTCATCTTTCGCCGAATCAATCCCGCAGTTTGCGAGGACATAGGCATCAATGACAAACAGGTGACTAGTGGCCCCGTGTGATTTCGATGCTTTGAATGAATCAGCCAATTTGACGGTACACATACGGATACCGATTGAGATCTAGTCAACTAGAGCAGTTTCAGCACGGTGGCTCAGGGAAATATCCACACCGGTTTGACCGGTATTCGAAGCTGCGTCATTGAGAAAGTGAGGCCAGTGTCACATGAAAGGGATCTAGAGTGAGCACAAAGACCTATAAGGGTGCAAACACGGTGCGGATGCAACGGGGGGAAAACAAACCAATTTAAGGCCCTGTCAGAGAGGTAAGCGGTTAAATAGCATGCCAAATGATACGTGGTGCAATGAAATTCGATCAGTGAGTTCAATGGATCTGACAACACGGAAGCAAAATGGTAAAGCGCTGGAAGAAGCAGAAAACGCAGGTTGGTATTGTAAATATATGGACTGCAAACGAGTGTTGGGCCTAGTAATGCATGCGTGAATAACTAATCTTGCTTACCCTTGTGACCGCCATTAGACTGCTAAGATTATATACCGCATGTGGTTCTTACACATATGGGGAGGTGGTTCACTTGGGCGCAACACAACTCACCACTCATGCAGCGTAGGACAGTTGCCCCGTTAAAATGAATACAAAGCACATTAGTTGACTAGCTTTGAACGAATAAGCTAAGCCATTGCACAGGGGGAGGCTTCAATAAATATGAGGAAAGGACAATCATGATTGTGCTATAGAATATGTCCAAAAACAAGAGACCGAAATGCGATGTCGAGGGCATGCGTTAAAGAGAGCTTTCACAACATTTTTGGAGACCACAGGTAGAGAGGGTGAAGACATCTGATTATATAAATAAATAAAGATTTCATTCTCGGCAGTACGAGGCACGCCAGCAAAGGCATGATCATGATAATAGAAACTCGTATGGTCGGTATTTGCACAAAAATGTCGTAAGTTAACCAGTAACATACTGGACCTGTGTCTATGTATATATGTAGGTGTATGTGTGTATTGGACTCTGCATTGTGATCGTGTTGAACGGTGGCAATTGAGGTGATTTGTCTTCTTTCTGTGCCTTGCAAAGACCCGGTTGTTCTGGGACCGAGGCCTTGAGATCAGTTCCTGGATATTTTGGTAACACTATACACGCAATTTGCGTACTGCTACTGAGTATGCAAAGTCCAATGCACAATAATAACACGCTGGGTAGACGTAGTTCGTCGAGCAATTTTGGTTTAGGTGTTACCTCACAGCTCGCACATTGTAGGGTGC